CTTAAGAAGTTACTTCTAGAGGCAGGGGTAGATTAAATAGTGAGGGATTGAAAAGAATTCTCATTGTTAAAATTATGTGCCTTTGTAATTACATTAAGCATTTGTAATGAGAGACAAAGAAACAAATATTGAAAACAGATGCTCAGAGCTCTCACATTACTTAGGTCAGAAGAGCTATGAAATTCTAATCTCTGAGGTGCCTACCAGGTAATTCCTTTCCAAATGAAAATGAAGGAATTAATATTGTTCTTAATAATTTGTAATAATCTGTAATTTCAGCACTTGGGAGTCTGAGGCAAGAGGACCTGAACTTTAAGGACAGCCTGAGCATACAGTGAGACCTTATCTCAAAAACAACACAGCCTAGGCCAGAATGTGTATGTGGAGTGGGTTAGGGTGGGGTGGGAGAGGACAGTTCTGTCTATAAACATGAGGACCTAGGTTTGATCCCCAGAACTTATGTAAAAAGCTGGGTGTGGTGCTGCATGCTCATAATCCCACAGTTAGGGAAGCAGACAGGAGGATTCCTGGGGTTTGTTGTCTAGCCATTATAGCCTAACTGGTGAGCTCCAGGCTAACAAGACCATGTCTCAAAGGCAGTAGATGGGGTTCCTGAAGATGACATCTGAAGTTGTCCTCTACCCCCATGCACAAACATGCGCCCCAGCACAAACATATACACAAAAATAACTTACAGTTTTATACATACAAGTATAAGATAAGCAGTATAGAAAGTTTACATCAAAAACATTGCTGTTAATAATCTACAAAATTTTCATACCTCATGTTCTAGAAACAAAGCTTTCAATTGACCTTTTGACCAATAATCCAGTGCATATGCCAAAAGTTTCATGGAGAGGGTATTGACACGTAGAAAGTTTCCAACAAAGACAACTCTGTTTATTTTCTGAAAGAAAATAAAGTGACTTACAAGGGAATTAACTATTAGGTAGGTTTTATAGTACAAAGATGCTATAAAATCTTTGTGTAGGAACGTTAGTATCTTTCACTAGTACCTAGTACATTTCTGGCAGACAGTGCTAAAATTCTGAATATTCATGAACTAGAGTTGGACAGGACACTATAAATTCACCAAGACTTATATATAACACTGACAGTGAACTCTAATGTAAACTACGGACTCTGGACTTCAATACTGATATTATGTCAATGCAGCTTCATGAACTATAATAAAAAGGAATCAAATGCTGGAAGATGTTGAGTGGCGAGGCTGTGCATGTGTGTGGTAGGTGTACGTAGGAACTGTACTTTCTATTCAATTTTACTGCGAACTTAACACTGCTCTAAAAAAATACGTCTATGTACACTGTAAATATGTTCAACCATGACACATAACATGCTCTACAGAGTTGGTGAATAACAATGATTGGACGGGGAGAAAAAGGAAAGGAAACCTGAAAGTGTAAAAGGAGAGGATGGGGGAAAAAACAATCAAGGAATACGGGAGATAAATCTACTAAGAGTTTGGAAATGCCGTATTTTACCCAATACTTTGTATGCTAATTTAAAAACAGATACACAAACTGTAACAGGAGCACAGGCAGTGCATCAACCCCATTCTCTGTTCCCAGCCTGCCCTATGCAGTCAGTCTCTCTCTCTCCCTTTTTCAATTCCACATGCACTAATTTGGTTCCTCAGGTGTCTCTTTTGGTCAGGAAGTGTATCAGGGAACTGGTATTAGAATGACCAGAAATCTTATTTATATTCTCATACTGACGTTTGAGCACAAATATTTGCATGTGTCTGGAATATAAATCACAGCTTTACTCCTAAGTGAATTGGCAGGTCAATCTACAGCCAAAAGACTAACAACGCTGGGAGTGGTGTGGTGCACGCCTTTATTTAATCCCAACACTTTGGAGGCAGAGACAGGCAGATCTCTGTGAGTTCATGGCCAGCCTGGTCTACAGGTCTACTCAGCAGTTCCCAGGCCAACCAGGACTATAAGACCTCGTCTTGGGGGAAAAAAAAGTAAATTGTTGACCCAATGCCTCACTCATCACCCTCCAACACTTGAGGGTGTGATTTATGTAAACAAGGACCTTTATGTGCAAGTTACACTTTTTCTGCCATTCTCTGCCCTATTCTCAATTTTCTTTCTCTTGTTTTTCCTTAAAAAACTGTGTGTGCTCACATGTCTTTAATCCCAGCACTAGGGAGGCAGAGGCAAGCAGATCACTGTGAGATCAAGGCCAGCCTGGTCTACATAGTGAGTTTCAGGCTAGGTGGAACTGGGAGACTCTGTCTCAAAACGACCAAAAAAAAAAAAAAAAGGAACAAAGGGGCTGAAGAGATCAGCGGTTAAGAGTATGGCCATTCTTACAGTCAGGCAGGGCCTTTGACTGATCTTCACATAGACATAACTGGTAAAAGAAAGGAGCCAGGGGCTCCTCTGAAGCCCACGTGACCCCTGAGGAACAGATCCTTAAACAACCTTAAGAATAAAAAATAAATTGATTTATTTGGGCCAACTGTATGGTCTTAAACACCCAAAAGGAAAGTATAACCAAAGATTAAAGTGATCAATATATTTAAGAGTTCAAGGGATTACACTTCCCAGACATTAGACTTAAGTCCACATAAATTGTTATTTAGACAATTATTTCTCATTGATAATTGTTTCTAAGCAGAAATGCTGCTCAGATGTAAGACTTCAAATCTTGGGCTGCAATACTATAGTGCCCTCCTGTAGCTAAGGGAGACAACCAGTTGTTATAAAATGATGATAAATTTGTTTTCTCCCCCGATCTAGAAGCCTTTGTGAGGAACTGACACTGACTCTAGCCACTCCAACAGCTATCAAAGTGTCTGAAAACAAATCCTGAGTCCATCACTCTAGAGTCCAGCCTTGATGGGCAAAAGAAAAATGAGGAACCCAATGGAGGGATGCTTTTGGCAGCTCTCATCAAGAAATTCCAACAGACTCTGATAACATTTGAAATTTGCCCTGTTCTGACTTCTTTCTGGTTCCCTGTCTAGAACTTGTAATGCTAACTATTCTTGCTTTTACTTCTTTTTCACATCTCCTAGACACCAGTCAAAGACTTTCTTTTCTCCCTACTGTTAAGTTATGCAATTTGGGAATCTTTTAGATAGACCCACTGAAGGGGTACCCCAATTGCCTCACCCTGTGTTACTCTTTAGCATGGAAGAAGCCAGAGCAGTCTGATGTCCTGATTCCTTATTGGCAATTTGGATAACCTCTTTAGGGGATGGCGTGATAAGAACAGGAGGTAGGAATTGGCTAGGCAGTTAGGGTAGTAAGACCCCAAAGAAGAGTAGCCAGTTTTTTGGCTAAACAAATGTCCTTGGGCCTCTTAGCAACATACTCTGTTCCAAAGGCCAAAAATGTCAAAAGTATTTGGGAGTTCTTATCTAACACCTAAAAGACTTTAGGGTTACCTCTTGGGGGGTGGGGGGGATGTTAGTGTAGCAAAAAGCCCCATTAAAAAAAAAAAAAAAAAGAGTACATGAAATTGTTCAGGAAAAAGGGACGGGGAAATAGGGGAGGAGCTGGAGGGGAGTGGATGTTGATTTGATCAAAACATCTTATATTCATGTATAAAATTCTCAATAAATTTTTTAAAAGGCTACTCTTGCAGATGACTTGGGTTCAATTCCTAGCACCCACATGGCCGCGAACAACGGTCTGTTACTCCAGTTCCAGGGGATCTGACACTCTTCTGTGCTCCACTGGCACTGCACAACATGGGTGCACTTCCATACATGCAGGCAATACACTCATACAGGTAAAATAAAGATAGTATTTAAAGAGAAAACAAAACCCCTTGCATTTATCACTCCATAATAAATAACCTGCTTTCTACATAATTAGAATAATGTAAGCTCCAAAGTCAGGGACCTTTGTTTTCTTCACTAATATATTTCAAGTACCTCGAACAACGTCTAGCACAAAGGCACTCTACCTTGCTAGCTATCTAATCTCTCTCACATCATCATTATCTATCATCTACCCATCCATCCATCCATCCATCCATCCATCCATCCATCCATCCATCCATCCCATCCAAACTTCTCTTCCAAATAAAAATATCCCAACTAGGTGTGGTCAATCTAGCAGTACATGCTTTATGTGATCTTTTTATCCAGAAGAGGATCTTTGGTGTCTGTCCTTCTCTATTGCTTTCTACCTTAAATCCTTGAAACGCGGTCTCTAACTGAACTTGGATGTTAGGTCGGTAGCCAGCAAAGTCCAGGACCCAACCTTCACACCTGCTGGGAAAGTCTGCAGGTCTTTCTTACATAGGAGCTGGGGATTGGAACTCTGGTCCTGACCACACAGTAAGTGCTCTTACTCACTCCCCATCTCCCCAGCCCTACATGTTTTCTCAAAGCAAGCAGCATGCATCATTCAAACTGCTCGTGAAGAACAAGTCTCAGTGCCTTCATAGCCCTGTACAATGCTGCTTGATCCATATGCAACAAGGCAGCACTGTAAAGAAGCCGAGGGCAGTAAGAAAACTTCCAAGTGTTTCACTAATTAAATACTACAGTAATTGTAAACAAAATAAAAACCAACACACAATGCTTTCAATAGTCATCTCAAAATGCTTTTTTATTTAAAGATTTTTCCTCCCATTCTTAGATTTGTATTGCCTACTCATTCTCAAGGTTTTGTTCTAAAATCAGTATAAGTACTTCTCTGTCCTATTTCTGAACCCAAGTTCGGTTCTGTGGTGCTGGGGACTGAACCAAGGGGCTTGCACTATTTGTCACACTTCAATCTGAATTCTATGTTACTTTCTAAAAGTGAACAAAATAACTGGGCACATAGCATATTCATTTGGTCAGTTTGGAGATGTAATAGATCACAATCTGAGAGGCCTTCTTAAGGAAAACAAAGCAGTTTTGTCAGACCCACAGAAAATACCCATTTACATTTTTTATAAAATTAAAAGTTCTTGAATTTTTTACCTCATTAACAGCACACATTCGTGCCACGGAACCAATGTTATTGGTGATAGTAACTAAAGTAGCTCTTGCCAGATCCTCTTTACTAACAGCTTCTCGCTTCTCTTTATAAATCATATTCCCAAAACTGCAGAAAACGAAAAAACAAACCAGTCAAGTTTATTGGTTATCAGCAACATTTTACACACAAACTTAGGTATCTGTAACAGCTCTACGAAGTTAGGACCAAAAGAGGATGAGCGAACAGGGATCTAACAAAATGTACAAGCAACAGCACCCTTGAAAAAGTTAAAGTTAAACTTGTCTCAAGTATACACTTATTGTTATAAGAAAACAAAGATTCATAAAACATCTACATTTTAAAACTTGCTACAAAACAAGAAAATTAAAAATTACTATTTCAGGAAGCCAAGGGGGGAAAAGGGCAAAGTACAAAATATGAGCCACTTGTTCTACAGTTTCTTTCAGTCATATTTAAATAGGTAAAAATAAGGTGAAACTAATTAGAATTGCATATTTTATTTAAGCCAATATATCTGAATATAGCCATTTTACAATGTGGCATGCATTAACTACATTCCAAGTGCTTCTTGTACACATGCTGTTAGAGGTTATCATGGGGGCAGTACAGGCCTAGATAAAGGAGAGCAACAGAAACTTTTGTTTCTACTTCAGAGACAGGGTTTCCTTGTGGCCCCAGCTGGCCTGGAATTGATTATGCAGACCAGGCTGGCCTCAATTACCAGAGATCCTCCTGTCTCAACCATCCAAGTGCTGGGATTAAAGGCAACTGCCACCACATCCAGCTCAGAAACACTAATAAAGAGACAAAAACGAACATAAAACCAAACCACAGGGAACACCAAGGAAAAATTCTATTTCTGTCGTAAGAAGAAAAAGTTGAGATGGTATGAAGGAAGGTTTGCCACAGAAAAAGGAACAGAAAAAGTTAACTTAAAAAAAAAAAAAAAGAGAGAAAACACAGCTGGTTGTGGTAGCACACACCTTTAATCCCAGCACTGGGGAGGCAAAGTCAGGTGGATCTCTGTGAGTTCAAGGCCAGCCTGGTCTACACAGTGAGTTCCAGGACAGCTGGGGCTACAGAGACCCTGTCTCAAAAAGACCAAAAAATAAAAAAGAGAAAACATGAAATCACAAGTGATATCAAACGGTCAGAGTGAAGGGTCCATGTGAAGGCATCGAGAAGCACTGAGAAGGCAAAGACCACTATAAGGTACTGCAGGCCTTGATAAGGAACGTGGAGTGTACAAGCAACAACCCAAGGCTTCACCCTCTGAGAATGAAGTTAAATACTGATGGAAAGAGATGCTTTCAATAGTGGTACAGCCACTTCTAGGTCACTCCTGTAAGCAATACTAACTAAATTCACTGGGTTACCAAAAAACCAAAGCGGGGGGTGGGGCACAGAGAGTACTGCGGAGGTGATCAAACATTGTATTTACATCTGGAAATGCTATAACAAAATTCATTAATATATAATATATGCTAAATAAAATTTAACCATTATTTAAGGGTGAATTTAAACATTAACATATAAATATATAGGAAGAAAAGTATTTAAATGTCTGAAAGGCACAAAAATAGCCTTAAATAACCTAGGTACCTAGGTTATATAATAAGACTTTTTTGGGTCTTCCTAGCTGGCCTGGAATTCAGAGAGATCCGCCTGCCTCTGCCTCCCAAGTGCTGGGATTAAAGGTGTGTGCCACCACACACAACTTAAGGATGTCATTTTAAAAACTTACTTATTCCCTCTTCCACCCTCCCAAGCGCGCGCATGCGTGCGTGCGTGCGTGTGTGTGTGTGTGTGTGTGTGTGTGTGTGTGTGTGTATACACAGCAATCAGAGGGAAACTTGGAGGGGTCAATTCCCTACTTCCACTATGTTCTGGGGATTAAACTCAGGCTTGGCAAGTACCTTTACCCACTGAGACACATTATGGGTCCAAAGATGTCATTTTCCCTAAGTTTAACAAATAAGTTTAATGAAACCACATAAAACAGATCAAGCATACTTTTATGCTTCTGTACACCTAAGGGTATAGTGGTGATGCATTCAGAGCAATAACAAAGGAAGAAGGAAAGCAGAGCAGTGCACAGTGAAGTCACCTCAAATCAGTAGAAAGAAAAAGAACTACTGATTGTTAAGGCCTTGCGAAAAAAACTGAAAAACTAAAACTGACTTGTACTTCACACAAAACTAAAAAACTTTCATACCATGTATTTATGTTAAATCAAAGACTGAAATATAGAAACACACTAAAGTTAAAAAAAACAAAAACAAAAAACAAAAAAAACCCAAAACCAAACCCCAAACAAAAAAACCCACCACAGGTTAATTCCTTTATAAATTTGGAATGTGGAAGACTTACTTACTATGAATCAATATCCAGAAGCCATAAAAGAAAAGACTGATAAATTCAACTGTGTAGCAAGCCAACGGAAAAACAGAACAGGTACAATCACAAAAAGCACATGTTGGTAAAAACAAATGCAAATTAAAATTACACAAACATGCCACTTCTCCATCATATTAGCAAAAATTCAATTTTCACAGCATACTGGTGAACTTGTAGGGAAATGGGCTTTCACCTGGTGGGTAAGGTAAAAAACAGTATCATTTTGAGGGTATGCTGAACAATATTGCAAAAAGCATTTGCAATCCAGCTTCAATAGATTCTACAGGTGGGCCTACAACATGGGCAAATAAATAATAAAGCCGCAATATGGAAAGATTATTAGAATGTACAGCTATTTTTAGAGCATGTACAGCATGCCACAGAATGGCATAGCTTTTTGGAAAAGAAGATAAAAGGATATGGGTTTGCATTTGTAAACGGCAATTCCAGACGGATGCTTCTGAATAAACAGAAGTGTCTTTTTCTCCCTGCAGTGCAGGGACTGAAACCCAGGACTTTGGCCATCTAGACAAAAGCTCTACTATCTTACAGAGTACTCATAGGGTAAACTCTTTAATGCAGTTTTACTTTCAAACTTATTCAATATTCAAAACTTGGATCCTAAGCAAAGAAAGGGAAATCACCCTTATAATTCCCTAACATACTACTGTGCAAAAACTAAATAAGCAACTCAAATAACAATGTAACTTACCTAGATGCTACAGTCCAACCGGGCAGACCAAATCTTTCATAATCTCCTCCATAAATATCGCGGACCAGCCTGTCAGCTCGGGTGCTGTCACCTTTGGATGCCATCTCAAGAGCCTCTTCAAAACTTTCACAGCCAGTCAATAAACTGCACAGCCCAAGAAAGGTACCCCCTCCAAGGCTAAGGAGAAAAACTCAGTAAGTTGTATTTACATATTATATTCTTTGCCAAAGTGAAAGGGTACAGCATTCATTTATTGAATAAACACCAGAAAAAACATGTTAGCAACACTAAATACTAAAATATTAACATAATGATAAAAGGCAAGAAAAACCGCTTAGCAAAACCAAACCTGTCAGATTAAAGATTAAACCCTATGGGGAGGAAAAGAACTACTTGGCATCCAATAGCTTCTACTTTGTAGTTGCTAAAAACATATTCCTGTGTGTGCATTAAAAGGCATGCTAAGCCAGGTGTGGTGGTGCAGGCCTTTAATCTCAGCACTCAGGAGAAGGAGGCAGATGTGTCTCTGTGAGATCATGGCCAGCCTGGTCTAGATAGTGAGTTCCAGGCCAGTTGGGGATACAGGGAGACCCTGTCTCATAAAAACCAAAAAATAAATAAATAAATAAAGCACACTAATAATAGGCTGTTGGTGCATGACTGCCTCAGTACTTAGAAGGCCAAGGCAAGATCACAAGTTTTCAGTCAGCCTGTGCAAGAAATACCACCTCTCTCAAAAAAGGGGTATGTCTGTTACAAATACCATATAAATAAGAAGGAAATCTATAATTTTAGTTTCCAAGAAATAGTTCTGTGAAAGGTTCATATAGTTGCCCAGTAAGGCTGAAAGTAAAAAAAGAGAAAAAAAAATGCTGTGGAAACTATAAGAAAAAACAGATAATGTAGTTCTGGAGTCAATAGAATAGAACACTGACTATTAAAGCTTCCACCCCTACTATTAAACTCTGGAAAAAACATTCTACATAAAAATTAAGGGGCGGGAGAGATGGCTCAGGGCACTGGCTGCTCTTGCAGAGGACCTGGGTTTGATTCCCAGCATCTACATGGTGGCTAACAACTGTTCAAAACTCCAGTTCCAGGGGAATCCAATGCCCTCTTCCGACCTCCTGGGGCACTGCATGACACAGGTGCACTAACACACATGCAGGCAATACACTGATACACATAAGAAAAATGTAAAAATGATAAATAAAATGTATTTAAAAAAATCCAATGAACAGGTGGACCCCTGGGAATTCAAGACCAGTCAGGGCTACGTAGAGAAACCTTCTCATTATAGATCTTCAATATTTCTACTTACGCACACATATTTTATTTGTTGTTTCAACAAATATGTATTATTTTCTTGGTAAAGTAGAGGTTAGCATTGCACTGATACAACTGGGGGCCCAGCCCAATGGAAGCACACTTGCTTGGCATGCATGAGGGTGCTTGCTCTCCAGCACCAAATAAATAAATAAATGGTCTAGAGAGATGGGTCAGTGGTTAGGAGCACTGGTTGTTCTTGCAGAAGACCTGGGTTCAAATCCCAGCACCCACATGGTGGCTAACAACTGTCTGAAACTCCAGTTCCAGGGTAACCAATGCCCTCTTCTGATCTCTGTGGGCACTGCATGACACAGCTGTACTTACATACATGCAGGCAATACATGCATACTCGTAAAATAAAAATTAAAAAAATAAGATAAAAAGTAGAAAATTACAATTTGCATGTAAGATGGTAAATGCTGCAATCAGACCAAAAAGGTAACTACCTTGTCCCAGTCACTCTTTTATAGTTGTCTTTGGAGTGGACTGCTAAAATACTGACTCCTGAGCCAATGTTCACTACTAGCAGTGGATAAGGATCATCCAGGTTAAAAGGCATCTTTTGGCATCGCTCAGGTTCTGAGGCATTAGCAAAATAATAGCATTCTGCTTGTCCATTGAAACTGACAGAATCTATGTACAGCAAGCCCTTTACAAGGCAGTCAAGTTCATCCAGTTTGTGCAGGTGGAGGTTTCCAATCTGTTTTAAAAAACAAACAAACAAAAAAAGAACTCGATTGAATTGTATTGTGTAATTTTCAGTATTTCACAAAACTTTAGTATATTATTTAAAACTCTCAGGTTTTCACTTATTTGTCCAGGGTCAAAGATCTTATCAAGGATTTTCCTTAGTCCACTAATTCTTGGTGAAGGCAATATCATCTCTGGGGAAGTATTTTAGTTGCATAATCTTTAATTGCTCTGCTATACATTTATTTTACCTGCCTATTAATGTGATAAACAAAGTATCATTGATGTAATTTTAACATATATACTATTTGCTAGAAATTCACCCTATCAATGAAGAGCTACTAGGCTACTATATTTGGAGTTTTATCAAGTGTGGTTCATGTCATATCACCAAAAGCAATGCTACATACGGAATCTGATTCTCCAATAAGGCATACTGTGGCATTTGTACTTTTAATATTAATGATGAATCAACATATAAATGCAAGCAGTTAGCTACTTTATTATGTCCTCTGTCTGAGCATACAAGCTAATCTATATCCTGGTATGCAAATACTGTTAACTCTCCATCTTTATATTATAGTTTGGTACCTGTGTGAAAGTACTGAATTGACTGCAGGTTAGAAATGGGTACGTGACAACATACTGTCACTCAGCATTTACTTATTTGTGTGGTCTAGAATATTACTGAGTGTCTGTGGTCTTAAGACCAGCTGTGCTCTTTCAATGTTTAGTAGAATACCTAATCCACTAAATACTCAAAGTTCTGCCAGATAAATGATTACCAACAAGAGCAAACTTATAGAACATTATTAGAAAATAGTTATATCTGTTTAAAATGTAGAACTTTATATTTGGATACCAGTATTTTCAATGGCCAGGTAAAAGCTGGCTTCAAAGACAGTTTTTGACAAAAATACTATAACACCTATTATTTACATGCCCAAACAAACGACTTTTAAATTTATGTTCAAATTACTCAAATCGAATAAAAATCAGTATTATCCATCAAAAGAATTTAGATAAAAATTCTGATAAAATTATAAGAGGCTTACATGAGGCACATAAGTTAATTTGTATTCTATTAATAATAGCAAAATTCTCTTATCGTATTGAGCAGTTAAATTGTACATAGCCACATTTTCAAGGAAAACAAATTTCAGTACTCTCAAACAGGATCTCTAAACTGTTTCAATAGACAGGACCAAAATTTAAGCAAACCCTTCCAACATTTAATAGTTCTCTTGCCATTATCTGTTATCACCTCAACACAAGAATGTAGCTACTAACCAAATTTGGTACTTCAGGAGATGGCTCTGAGAAACACAGTTATGTGAAAACACACACACACACACACACACACACACACACAAATCATCCAACAATTAAGACAGTAACAGTGAAAAGATTAAGACCCATTTACACCTGACTTTGTATACTGTCAAAGTCACTGAGGTCTCCTTTTTTATTATAGCTTTGTAGCATAGTTTCAAACTTAGCAGGCTTTACCAAACATACTACTATGTACAACAACATGCCTAAATCTGGGCAATTTAGTTATTTTTAAAACCCATAAAGGTTTTAAAAAAATGTTTCAAATCACAATCTAGGTCATGAGCACATGCCTCCTCAGGGAAAATTAACACAAGATAGAAGCCCAGGCTCACGGTTAAACACTGAACACAATTAGCCCTAATTTTTGGTTTCCATATAAGATACCTACTGTACGAAAATCTTTTTCAAACTTATAAGCACCACCTCCTGTAGCACATAGCACCGTTTGTAATGTTGAGAAGTTTTTATCTCTTCCCATTTGGATAAAAGTAGGCAAGTCCTGGGTTGGGAATCGGATAAAGTGCAAGTTCCCTCTTCGGCCAAAAAGTGTTAAATCCTTCAGTTCAAGGTGAACATCCCGAATGCCAGTGGACCCATATGCTACGTTAGAAGTCAAATATTTCCGAATACTTTTTAAGCTCTCAACTTCCTCTTGTTCTTCCTCTGCTGTGATATCGATAGGTTCAAAATATGAGAGCTTTACTAGAGTTCCCCCAATGTCCATGCCAAACCATGGGAAAGCTGTGAATTAAAAAAAAAGTGTATTTTGATTTCAGAAGACAAATTAAGAACAAGTAGTTAATTAGCCACAAACTTCTTTTACTCGGAATCATGCACTTAGTCAATAATACAAAACTTACCTTCCGTAACTCACCCTCCTTTCCTTCAGTTTTATTTGCACAGTTTCTAAAATCTTACAGGACACTGAGATGATGGCCCAGGGCCTTTTAATTCCTTACCTGATTATACATTCTTCATTTAGCAAATACTTATCACATGACTCAGGTGATAGGCAGAAGGTAAACCAATAAACAGGTCATTATCTAGAACTTGAACACATTTCTGTTTCTGTAAATTTTAATAAATTGAGATGGCCTTAGGCAAAAGCACTTATTGTAGAAGCAAAAGGACCTCAGTTACTTCTATTCCTCAGAATAACAGAAACAGGGCTGGAGAGATGGCTCAGCAGTTAAGAGCACTGACTGCTCTTGCAGAGGACCCGGGTTCGATTCCCAGCACCCACATGGCAGCTAACAACACAGTGTCTTCTGATCTCCTGCATGACACTGGTGCACTTACACACATACAGGCAATATACTCATACACAAGAAAATAATAAACATATTAAAAAAAAAATAACCAAAACAGACGTGGTATGCCCTGAAAGTAGACAGGAGAATCCCTGAAGCTCATGGGTCAGGCCCAGCAGAATACAACAGAGACCCTGCTTCAAAACAAGATGGAAGGCAAGGACTGACACTGGACACCTTCACATGTGCACATACACATTGCATACACAGACCTATGTGTATATACACACATATACACGTACACACATTGTACACACAAAGTTAAAAAAAATAAATAAAAAAAGGAGGGGATCTAAGGAAAAGAAAAGTGACCTAATAACATTCAATACTGGGCTGAGAATTAGATGGCTCAGCCAGTGAAGCAGGTTATTTGAGTGAAATGCCAGGAACCTACAGGGTGGAAGGAGAGAATCAATTCCTGCAAGTTGTTCTCTGACCTCTACATGTGTGTTGTGGCACGTGAGCACACAATGCACATGCACACACACACACACATACACACACACACACACAAAGAGAATGGGGAAAAATAGCAAAAACATAATCCTTGCTCATTAAACATATTAAGGTTCTTTGGTACATGTGGTTAATCATGTTGAATTACTTGCACAAGGACAAGCACATACAGGCTAGGATTATCACTCGGGGTTAGGACTTGGGTTAACTGGGCTATATGGCTCTGGAAAAGCCAGTTATTCCCCTGGGTATTATTTTCCTCAAATCCCTGTGAATAGTAATCGAGTGCCTCCTCTACGTTAGAGACTGCAAATGCAAAAACAAGAAAGGTAATTCCTGCCCTCAAGAAAAGCTTGCTCTAGCAAAGGAGTACAACTAAGTACACACAAATGAGATAAGCAAAATAAAATTATATACACAGGATAGGCCAATGACAGGAATGCTAAATTTGATGCCTCTGTTTTGAATGTGAGGAATGTTTCTTTTTAAAAAAGAAAAAAGTTTAGCTATACAATGGCAAAGGCAGTATAGTTAGGGAGTAAGGAAAAATCCTTAAGCACACAAAAGACCTTGCATGCTAAGCAAAGGAACTTCATCTTGATCTATAAATAATTTCAGGCATCATTATTTTCTCAGAAAGAAAGTGGTACAGTTACTATTTAAGTGGTAGAGTACAGGACAGACAGAAGCAACTTACAAGGCACCTGAAAAGTGAGGCTGAGGTATCCTAAATCTAGTACATCAAAGCCATCTAAGTATCACTTGAAAGTATAGACTGTAAGGTCCCTCCAAAGGTATTGAGCAACAACCTTTACAAGTAAAATGTGGAACATTTCTACTAGTCAGAGGTTCCTTCATGCTAATGCATTCAGTTCTACAATGTGATTTCCTTACATTTCTTAGCAAAATACAAGGTACTATTTTGTCACTGTTCCTGAGCCTGGGTGGATAACAAATCATTATTGCAATATTATGAATTATAAAACTGTAAATGTTTTTAATTTTGAGAGCAGGTCTCTCTGTAGCCCCATCTGACCTGGAACTTACTATGGAGACTAGCCTGGCCTCATCTCAGAGATCCACCTGCCTCTGCCTCTGTAGTGCTGGGATTAGAGGTGTGAGCCACGACCCACAGCTCAAAACTTTAATTCAGTTCCCATAAAGCTATAGCTGACACTGAGTACACACTATCTTCTGTAAGTATGTGAATTATATGTATTGGCTCATTTAATCTAGTCCCACGCTATAGTTACCCTATTGTCTCACTACTTCACAAACAAGGAAAGGATACATCTGACATACTTGCTTAGTGCCAACTGTTAAGTGACATAGGATTCTATTCTGGGAAGTCTTTTTCTACTCTCCTGTTATCTCTCAAGTACTATGATATAGGCTCAAAATGAATTTTATATTTAAGATACACAGATTATTTTAAAAAGTAGAGACATGGAGCTGGAGAGATGGCTCAATGGTTAAGAGCACTGGCTATTCTTCCAGAAGACCTGGGTTCAATTCCTAGCACCCACATAGGAGTTAACAACTATTCTAACTCCAGTTCCAGGGGAATCCGATGTCCTCTTCTGGTCTCCAAAGGCACTGCACAACACGGTTGCACTTAAATTCGGGCAAAGCACTCATACACGTGAAAAATGAAAATAATATTTTTTAAAAAGTAGAGACATAATTCAATGAAAGCAGACTCCACATTTCTTTAGTCTACAATTTTGTTTTGAGAGGGTCTCCCTGTAGTCCCAGATGGCCTGGAATTCACTATGTAGACCAGGCTGATCTTGAACTCACAGAGATCCGCCTGCCTCAAGGCCTCCTGCATGCTGGGATTAAAGGCGTAAATATTTTATATGTATGAGTGTATTGCCTACATGTATGGAAGTGCACCCGTGTTGTGGAATGCTCACAGAGGTCATAAGAGGGTATTAGCTGCCATGTGGGTGCTGGGACTCGAACCTGGGTCCTCTGCAAGACAAGACAGTGTTCTTAATCGCTGAGCCACTTCTCCAGTCCAAAAAAGTAGCTAATTTAATTTACACATCTAGAGCTGACTTCCACGCCTCACTAATTCACATTTTGTGTTCCCTGAAATCAGACACCTGAGTCTTGGCTCTCACTTCTCTGTGCCCAGGAAGTAACCTCCGAACTACTGCCAACAGGAGAATCACCAGGTTCTAGGCAAAGTACTCCTTACACTGAGGGCAGAGATCCACAGCAAAGCAGACTATCCTGGGATGTTTCATGAGCCTCACTGTACCCATGACTTCAGTATAAAGTTGGGCAAATCTCTTGAATGACTCTTCAGACAGATGGAAGCTCATTTATAGAAACGGTACTGTAATGCATCTCTAAGTAAAAAGCAGATAGTATCACCAAGTGCTTTCAGTTGACTCATAAAAATCCAGACTTTCATAAAGTTCTGCTTTATAAGATTCATGTGTAAAGTTACAGATCACTTCCCTGTCCCTATCCCCACTAATGATTCAGATAATTAGTACCAAGCAGCAATACAGAGTAGAAATTTACATCAACAGTGTTTGCTTGGACTCCCCCCACCCCCTTCTGTTTTGAGGCAAGGCCTCACACTGTAGCTCAGGTTGGCCTGGAACTCACTATACAGCCCCCAGCTGCCCCTGAACTTGCAGCAATCCTGCTTCAGTATTCCAGGTATTGGGGTTATAGGTGTAAACTACTATAGCCAGCTACCAGTACTTTTAAAACTGGAACAGACAACTGATCCAGTGAACTTGAACTTCCTTTGAATTGCTCTAAATTTGAAAATAACTGAAGGACCTTCAAAATAAGGATACATAGGAGACCCTGTCTCAAAACATTAAAACAAAACACTCATACACAAAAAATTAAAAATAAAAAATTAAAATAGCCACTTTTTGTTACATTTATTTATGGTGGTGGGGAGGTAGTGTCATACACCCATGCCACACCAACACACGTGTGCAGTTAAGAGGACAATTTATTTTAAATTTATTATTTTTATTTTATGTGTATGTGTATATTGCTTGCATGTAGGTAAGTGCACCGTGTTATGCAATGCCTGTGGAGGTCAGAAGAGGCTGTCGGATCCCCTGGGACTGGAGTTACAGACAATTGTTAGCTGCCATGTGGGTGCTGGGATATGAACCCAGGTCTTCTGCAGGAACAACCAGTGCTCTTAACCACTGAGCCATCTCTCCAGCCCCAAGAGGACAATTTTTTGAGTAGCTTCTTCCTCTACCATGCAGGTCCTAGGGACTGAACGTTGACTTGTCAGCCAAGTTCTTCTACCCACTAGCCGCTTTGTCAGCCCAATAGCCACATTTTATATATATATAGACATCTTTCAACTTTGCAGAGTACTCTGATTCATTTCCTTATGCCAGAGAAGTAATCACTATTCAAAAGGAATGAAGGGGGGGGGGTTGGAGAGAAGGCTCAACAGCTAAGAGCACTGGCTGTACTCACAGAGAACCTGGGCTCGGTATCCAGCACCCAAGTGCTGGCTAGCAATAGTCTGTAACTCCAGTTCCAGATCTGGTGACTCCAAGGGCACTGCACTCATGGATGCACTTATACACAGATAAAACATTCATACACCTAAAAAATATTTCTTAGCCAGGTGCAGTGGCGCATGCCTTTAATTCCAGCAGAGGCAGGTGGATCTGTGTGTCCAAGGCCAGCCTGGTCTATATAGTGAGTTCCAGGCCAGCTGGGGTATAGGGAGATCCTGTCTCAAAAAGACCATTTTTTTTTTAAAAGCATGAAGCAACATAAACAAAGACAAAAAACCTTCAATTACAAATCTCTATCATTTAGCAAATGGTCTAATTATCAACTTTTGAATTCTGAAGTACATTAAAATGTGTAGCATATACAATGATATTTCCAGATATATTCTGAGTTCTTGGATAAAAGAATTTCACTCTCCTCATCAATTACTTCAATAAAAATTGTGGTGCTCTGAAACAGACTAAGAAAACACCTACCTTTACACCTTTGTTAGATTCCCTGGAAAGGTCTGGGCATTTTTTTTTTTTTTTAGTTAATTCCTTGTTTCTAAGGAGAGTTAGAAACTATTTCCTCCAAATGTACCATATTACCTACAGGAAGTGATAATTCTTAATAACCAAATTTACAAATAGGTCAGCCAAATTATGTAGAAATGGACTATACATAAACATATTCATAAGTGCTATATGATACATAAACACTGTGCTTAACAAAAATTTTGAGCACCTTACTACTTAGGTTGGCAAAGACTCAAACCTATATTGTATCACATTTAAATATATTTAGCACCTTTTACCATCACTGGGCTGGCTAATCTAGCTGCATTTGCAGGTAAGCATATCACAAGGTGAAAACCCTATACTTTAAGAAATCATGTCCCTCAGGGGTATGAAAATACAGTGTTTACATGCAAGAAATTCTCAAAGAATAAATTTTTAAAATTACATTTTTAGAAAAAGAGATCATGTCCTCAGGGTTGAAAGGAACATAACTGTTTTGCCAATTCTTTATAAATTTTTGCTTTACATGTGCATCTGGTAATATACTGGTTATTTACCTAAAAGTAATATAGCAGCAACTTACTTTAAAAGAAGTTATTCCTTTATTTCTCAACATAGTTTATTTTACAAACTCGTTTTTTTCTTTTTTGAGACAGGGTCTCTCTGTAGCCCCAGATAGCCTGAAACTTGCTAGGTCGATCTCACTGCTTTCCTAATGCTGGGATTAAAGGCATGTGCCATCTCACCCAGCTCAATTTACAATTTTTTTTTTTTTTGGTCTTTTTGAGACAAGGTCTCCTAGCAGCCCCAGCTGGCCTTGAACTCACAGAGAGATCTGCCTGCCTCTGCCTCCCCAGGGCTGGGATTAAAGGCGTGTGCTACCATACCCAGCTTAATTTACAAACTTTTTAATGAAAAACACAATCTCTTTTGAAACACTGGTGAAAACTATATTTATATCTGATCTGCCCAAATTAAGTTTTCAAAGCACTGTCATAAAAAGAAAACCACTATCATTGTATCAGAATGTATCATGAAGTCTTTTCACTAACAGAATTTCTAGACAAGCAGAGAAAACGAATACACTGAAGGAAGCTGTCCAAGTGTTCCACATCACTTCAAGATGCATTAATTTGTTTTGCGTCTCTCGTTGGCTTCTTGAGTCAGGATCTCACTCCATTGCCCAGCCTGGACAATTCACAGCCATCCTACGTTGGCCTCCAAGTGCTAGGATGACCTGCCTAGAATACATGAGTTTAACCCAGCAAATATAAACATACACCAGCAGTGTTTCATTTAATCCTTCACACCTGAGTGTTTTATAGACTTCTTAAACAGCTATCACAAGAAATCCTTGTTAAGGTCTATGAGCAGATAATCTAAAAAGAAAAAAAAAATTGTTCTCCAAGTATTTGTACTATGTCCTGTAGTTGGAAAAAAAACACACTGTACTTTGAGCTAGTGGACTGAGGGCACTAAAAATTACTGAGGCTAAGTTCAATTTCCTCACACTTGAAGTTTTTAGCCTGGTATGGCATGTTGCTTCTCTGAGTTTTATGGGGACTGTTGATGGGCAGGCAGGGAAGGAGCTCATGCCCTTTTTATAACTTAGAGCAATTGGGAGGACAGCATGAAAACACTGCAGAAAACTGCAACAAATCGAGTTAAGATTATCTTGAACCTGGATTCCCACATCCTCTAGTTGTTCAGAGGCTCAAAGTACAATTACAAAGACTGAGCCAATAAATAAGCCAACTGCAGGAATAAAAGACTTTTAAAAGGCAGCACATGAAAGTTGATGTGTTCTCGTGCAGCGTGTAAGAATTTTTAAGTACATGCATGTACAATTATGGGGAAAAAAATCTCTTAACAGGTATTTACCATGCTATTACTGTGATTCTCTCTGGGTAAAGGGAATACATATTATCTTTTTCAAATTTATCTGCTTTTAAATCAAGCATGAACTAGTGGATATTCTAAGCCAAGGCAATCCATCCATTGGGGCACGGTACATGCACAAGCCTTAAAAAGCTCCAATGGCAACAGTCGTGACAACTCCTAGGAACCCACCAGGATTTCAAGGACACAAGCAGGAAGCAAGGAAATCACTGAAAACCGGTGGGAACTGCCGCTAGCTGACAGCCAACACCACCCGGTTTCAACCTGACTTCTAGCTTCAAGTGGGGACTGGGAGCTGTACTGCCGCGTGGCAGAACCAAGTCGAAAATCCTCCCATTTAGCTCCTAGATGTCCCGGAGCTAGTGGGAGAGGGCTGGGGGGCGGCGGGCGCCCTCCGAGCATGCCTGGGGGTGGGGAAGCTGCAGCCCGCAACCCTAGGCTGCAAGGTTCCCTCCCCGGTGGGCGCCCGCTAGCAGCTGCGGGCTCGAGCAGGCCGCTCCGGCCCAGGGCTCCCTCCCAACCCCGCGGGCCCCGGCCCCAGGCCCCCATCTTACAGGGCTTTTTGGCATCCTTGATCTTCATGGCGTCGGCTTAAGGCGCGCGGGGTAGCCTCGGGTGCAGAGCAGAGCGAGGTTTTCGAAGCTGGCTGGGCAGCACGGCAAGGCCAGGCCTAGCCGGTTCCTCCCCTCAGGCCAGGCGGGGCGGGCCTAGGGCGGGGCGGCGGCGCCTGAGGCGACGGGCGGCCCACTGGGCGGCCCCGCACCCCTGCGAGGGGCGACCGGGACCCAGCGAGCTGGGGAAGGCCGCCGGCCGCGCCGCTCCGGGGCCTCCCACAGCCGCTCCAAACAAAAGGCCCCGGTCCCCCGAGTCGCCGCCGCCGCCGCCGCCGCCGCCGCACTGAGAAATAGCCCGCCCAGGCCCAGCGCCCACGTGACTCAAGCCCCCTCACCTCGCTCTCTATGGGGCTGCTGGGAATTGTAGTTCTACTCGGCAGGAGGCCCCGCTCATCGGCAGCATAGGCGCGGACGGACTACAAAGTCCAGGATGCATCGCGACCCCGCCTTCCCGGCCCCCTCCGTTTCCGGAGATCGCCTCAGAGTGGCCCCAGCGGGAAGGGGGCGGGGCCTTAGTCACGCCAGCCGGGAGGCCACCAATGGTGGCTGCCGTGGGCGGGTCGGGCTATTCCCGGGCTCTAGCTTCTCCCAACTCCTAGGGAAAGGGCCTGGGAACTCTGCAGGGAGTGTTACGGCTGTCTTTAAGTCGCAGACTTCCCCTCGATGGTTATTGTGCCATAGAAAGAGCAAAAGTTAAGGTTTCAGAGCGTTGAGTACGTTTGATGAATTAAAATAATTTACGAAAGCACGCTCTTACTTAAATTAGGAACACCTTGAATGTTGGGGTTGGAATGATGTCAGCAATGACGCTAACATCTACTGCATCTTGCCGCATCTAAGGCATTCTGTTAAGTACTATTATTTACTGTAACTAAGCAGCCTAGTGCGCCACATACAATTTTATTTTTAATTTTTCTTTTTTTTTTTTGTCTTTTTGAGACAGCCTCCCTGTAGCCCCAGCTGTCCTGGATTCACTATGTAGACCAGGCTGGCCTCGAACTCACAGAGATCCGCCTGCCTCTGCCTCCGGAGTGCTGGGATTAAAGGCGTGCACCACCACGCCTGGCTAATTTTTCTTTTTTATGGCAAAGACGCTATGTAACTCTGGCCGGCCTGGAGCTTGCCATGTAGAGCAGGCTGGCCTCGAACTCACGCAGATCCTCCTGCCTCTGCCTCCAGAATGCTGCAGTTAAAGGTGTTACCATCACGACCAGCAATTTTTAAATTTATTTTGAAGATATGGGAGGAACTGGGAAGTTAAAACACTAAAGCACATGCTTTTTGCCAATATTCTGTGTTCCTAGGAGCCTCCAAACCAGCTCCTCCTTATAAAGGGGAAAATGACTTACAGAAGAGAAAATGAGATGTTCTAGTTCCCAGAACAAAGCCAGGATGTCCTTTTCTCTATGCCTCTTAGAGCTTGAGAGCTCCCATCAGAAGAGGAAGAAGTGGCATTGAAGACCTGGCCTCTCCTCCACTGTCTCCTAGTTACATGGCCAGAAATTTGGTGGTTGACACCCACATGGCGGCTAACAACCATTGGTAACTGCAGTTCCAGGGGATCAGACATCCTCTTCTGTCCTCCACCTGCACTGCACAGCACCCGTGCACTTACACACATGTGGGCAATACACTCATACATGTAAATTAAAAATGACAGAAGAGGGCTTCTAATCCCCTGGAACTGGAGTTATGGTAGGTTGTTAGATGCCATGTGGGTGCTGGGATTTGAACCCTGGTCTTTTACAAGAACAGCCAGTGTTCTTAACTGCTGAGCCATTTCTCCAGCCAGTAATAAATAAAATTTTGTGTATATATATATATATATATGTCTTTTTAGATGGTCTGTAGCCTCACTGGCCTGGAACTCACTATGTAGACTAGGCTGGCCTGGAACTCACAGAGATCTGCCTGCCTCTGCCTCCTGAGTGGGAGGACTTAAAGGCATGCACCACCATGCTCACCCAGAAAATAAAATATTTTTTTTAAAAAAAATTAGGCAGTGAAAGAGCTGGCAATGTAGCTCAGAGTACTTGGAGAGAGTTAGCAGTGAAGACAGCATTCTAACCAAAGCATTCTTAACAGACAACCTTAATCTCCCTTCTCTGTAGAGTGCTGTGGTTAGGATGTGGTTTGCTGAAGCCAAAATGCACACTGAACCTTAATTTCTCAGTGCAGTCATGTGATAGGATGGGACCCTTCAGGGTGATTAGGTCCTGAATACACTACCCTCAGGTATGGATTAATGTCTTTCTCTAGGGATTGGGTTAAATCTCACGGAAGCAAATTGAGTCTGGCAGATCTGGATTAATTACCTGAGAGCTGGTTGATATAAAACAAAAGTAGCCGTGCCTGGTGTTTTGGCTTCTTTCACATTTACCTACTTGCCATTCTCCCATGAGCTTTTGCTTTGTGATTTCATCTACCATGAAGTATTTTCAGAACTGCCCTGTCGTGAATGCTGTGTACTAGACATGCCCTTTTTCCCTTTCTAACTTACATAGCCTCAAGTATTTTGATATAAACAACACAAGGCAGACTGAAACATATATGATATTGGGGCTGGAGAGATGGTTCAGTGATTAAGAGCACTGCTCTCGCAGAGGACCTGGGTTCGATTCCCAGCACCCACATAGAAGCTAAAAATCGTCCATAACTCCAGTCCTAGTGGATCCAACGTCCTCTTCTGACCTCTGTGGGCATTGCAGGACACGAAAGTACGTGGAGGCAATATACTCATACACATAAAATTTTAAAAAGTATTTTAAAAAGAACTGGTATGTTGCATGATGTTTTTCTTCTGCTTGTTCTAAGTTTTAATTTAAATTGAGTCTTTGCAACTACCTTTCTACCCTTTGATTGTTAGTTTGTTTTGTTTATTTTGAGACAGTGTCTCCCTATAGCATCCACTCGCCTGGAACTCACTTTGTAGACTAGGCTGGTCTTGATCTCACAGAGACCAACCTACCTCTGCTTCTGGAGTGCTAGGGTGAAAGGCATGTGTACCACCATGCTGGAGAGATGGTTCAGTGGTTAAGAGCACTGACTGCTCTCGCAGAGGACCCAGGTTCGATTCCCAGCACCCACATGGCAGCTACAAAGTGTCCTTAACTCTAGTTCCAGGGGAATCCGAAGCCCTCTTCTGACCTCCGCAGCATTGCACGACAAGGGTGTACTCACATACATGCAGGCAATATACTCACACACATAAAATAAAAATAATAAAATATAAAATAAAATTAAAAAGGTATGTCTAACAGAAAGACAAGACATAACATTGGAAGTTTTCACCTGAAAGTCCCAGTCAGACTCTATAGCCATGATGCTTACAAACTTTAACAGCTTATGTACCATACTGTGAGGCTACAGATTGGCTCAGTCACCTCTTTCCCCAAATTAAGTGTAAGCCCACAGAAACAGGTAAGAAATGCGTCACTCAGCAAGGATATGGTTCATAGATTCAGTAGGAGTCTGTTGTCTCAAATAGATTTTTTTTAAAATCAGTTTATTAAGAAACTCTATTAGGACCAGTGAGATGGCTCAGCAGGTAAAGGCCAAGCCTGATGAACTGAGTTTGATCCCTGGGATCCACATGGACGAAGGAGAGAACCGACTCCCTCGAGTTTGCTGATCCCCACAAGCACACTGTGGCTCACTCATCCCCACACACATGCACACACAGATAAATAGTATAAATGTAAGAAAAGAAAGCTTCATGACTCATGTCACCTGGAAAGAGAAGTGTTAACTGCTCTAGTCACTTTGGTCTTTGGAAAGAAACAGGACTATCAAGTCCACAATCCAAAAAGTTGAAAAGGCCTCTCAGCTCAGGCTCTGCAATAACTCAGGAGGTAAAATTAAACCACCACTCTTCCTTAACTTAGGATGATGGATAGGCACATTCCAAAGAAAAGATTGCCAATTAGATTTTACTCAAATGCTCACCTGTCAAGGATATATAATATATTCGGGGGGGGGACTTATATATTTTTATTTTATGTGTATGGATGTTTTGCCTACAGGTATATAAGTGTACCACATGTGTGTAATGCCATGGAGGTCAAAGGTGTTGGAGTCTCCTGGAACTGGAGTTATGAATGGTTATAAGCTGCCATGTGGGTGCTGAGATCTGAACCTAGGTCCTCTGCAAGAGCAGCCAGTGCTTTCAACCACTGAGTCATTTCTCTAGTCCCAGGGATATATTTTTGTTGTTTGCCCATACCTTCCCTAAATGGATAAAGGCCTCTTTTACTCAAACCAAAGGGACTCAAGAAGTTATTCTCTGAAATAACACTTTCCCCCCGAGTCGCCACAGCCTCAAGAACATCTTAGACACAAAGCCATTTATACTTGTAAACTACTGTGTGATCTCATTCAGGTTTCTTAGCAACCCTTTGAGGACAATAGCTTTAAAACCCATACAAATCCTTCATAGGACTATTGTAAAGATAATGCAGGGCAACTCACCTTTGAGAAGTCCACACCCAGGTTCTAGGGTGTGCCCTATTTCTGAGTGCCTCTTTCTCTTACTCCTCATGTTTAAAGTTTACATTAAAACTCTTTAAAGCCCAATGTGGTCTCCCCTGCCTTTAATCTCAGCACTTGCGAGGCTGAGGCAGGCAGATCTCTGTGAGTTTCAGGACAGCCTGGTCTGCATAGTGAGTTCCAGGTCAACTAGGGATACATAGGGAGAACCTGTCAAAAAAAAAAAAAGAATCCAGGCATGATGATATACATTTTAATCCCAGCACTTGGGAGGCAGATCCCAGATTACATATTTGGTTTTTAAATACTTTATTTATTATTTTTATTTTATGTACATGAGTGTACTGCCCACATGTATGTAAGTTACTCATGCCATGCAGTGCCCTTGGAGGTCAGAAGATGGTGTCATATTCCCCTGGAATTGGGGTTAAGGGGTGTTGTTAGCCACCACGTGGATGCTGGGAACTGAACCTGGGTACTCTGCAAGAGCAGCAGTACTGAATCACCTCCCCAGTCCCACATTTGATTTTTAATAATATATTTATTATTTTTTTCTTTTTGAGACACGGTCTCACTATGTGGCCCTTCTGTCCTTGAACTGGCTATATAGACCAGACTGGCCTTATTACTCACAGAGATTCACCTGCCTCTGCCTCCCTAGTGCTGGGGACAGAAACATTTTCCTATGCCTCTAAGTATATAATCTGACAATTCAGAACCTTGCATGGTAGGCAATACCTTCTTTTCCTTTTATATTCTGTTACCCTGTTTCACACAGAACACTAGATGTTCTCCAATGACTCCGTAGTTCTATTGAGTGAGAGTCATGATCTCTGACCTGGCATGCTTCAAAAGGGTCGCCCTGTGTGATAGTATTCGCTAGCTG